TAGTGCCGAATATTCTCCTCGAGCTGTTCGATCCAACAGCCAGCGTTCACCTTCAGTCCGGGGTCCACGAAGAAAATATTGGTCTTCCCATTCCAGGTACGTCCGGTCCATACCATCAACCCGCGCCTTGGCGACTGCGGTGAAGATGATATCCTGGACCGTAGCGACGTTGTCGGAGCTGCTCGATGTTGGAGGTCTTCCAGATCAAGAGTGCCGGTCCCCAGGTAGCTGTCCATGGGTGACTCGATACAAGAAGTTTCGCAGCTGTTTGGAGGTGACGTGAATTCCATAGGCCTTCTTCAGTTCGGCTGCGATTACATGGCTTCATATTTTGGTGTACATGAAGGTGCAGGATACAGCATAGTTGTGTGAAACACATGGGGGGGAGGTCGTACTCGGCCGCTGGAGAGGGGGTTCGCACCTGGTCGTTGTTGAGAGAGGAGCGAGTCGTATGTACCTTTGAGAGAAATTTGCAACATTGGGAAAAAAATTTTCCGCTTGTTCACTTTTCCCGGTTTTTTTACGTTTCACATCGGCTATAATATATAACGGAAAGTTTACGAGTGTTAAAACCGGGAAGCTTCGGAAAAACTGGTAGGAAGCTGGGAAGTTCTAGAAAGGTGGTAGGTAAGAGTTGGTGAAAGGGGGGGGGGGGGAAGGGTCATACTGACACCACACCACCATTTCACACATCACGATGCTGTACCCTGTGAAGGTGATGGACAAGAGCCTGCTTTTGTTTATCGAGGAGTATCTTGGGTAGCTTCCGACTTGGTACTCGTGTGAACGTCTTCTCTCTGCACGTCGTATTCTTTACTAATATGTGCCTAGGGCGAAGTATCGTTTTTTTTTACCCTTCCCCTGTAGTTGTTGTCAGGTTAAAGGTCATGCTAATGAGGAAAAATGTTCGTTCGGCACGATTCCACTCCACCACCGTTTAATCCATAGTATCTCTCGATATGTGAACCATATCTCCTCAGAAACGAGTAAAACTGCTCGGAGAGGACTTTCGTTGCGAAATTTGGCGACCTCACTCGAGGCCATTTTACGTATCGTCATCGGACATTTCTACCGCCATATTAAAGAGCATATTAAATACTATCATGATACCCCGCCACAGCCTTCTGGAGGAGCGCCATCGAGAGATTCTGCCACGCGACCGTCAGTGGGTGCGTGAGTTCAGCGAGATCGTCGTTTTCTCCGCCACTATAGAGCCACCCTATTGAACTCAGCCCGAAAACAGGTAATTTAGGCGTCTTAGCCCAGGTTACTCTATCTTAGATTATTCCACCTTATTCAGGTATCAACACGCCTCCACATTCTAAGTAGGGCCAGAGTTTTACCCAAACGCCCTTTGAATCCGCAGATGTTGGTTGTCACCCAAGGCCTGTAGCAGTACAATAGTATTCCAAGAAGGTAACCGGCGACGGACATGTGGGGAAGATTATTTTCTTGAGTTGTCGATAATAAGCGCCAGCGCTCACCTTTAGTCCGGGCCCACGAAGAAAATATCGGTCTCTCCATTCCAGGTACGTCCGGTCCCCACCATCAACTGGCGCCTTGGCGACTGAGGTGAAGATGATGTCCTAGACCGTGGCGACGTTGTCGGAGCTGCTCGATGTTGGAGGTCATTCCAGATCGAGAGTACTGGTCAGGTAGCTATCCATGGGTGACTCCACTAGAAGTTTCGCAGCTGTTCGGAGGTGACATGTAAGTGTCCACATATTCTTTGGTTATTTAAGAAATTTTTTTCCAAACATCATAATTGTTCCAGTAGTTCACGAAGTGTTTAGGAGTAGTGTATTCCTATGTTTTCGCTTATGAGGAATTCAACAATAAAGGTCTCATATCGCAAAATTCAAAGGCAATTTTGCAGGACAAAAATTTGAGGTGTCCACATACTTTTGTTACGCACTGTATATGACAACTTCAACGCTGAAAACGAATAAAACTGCAGCAAAAAACAACAAGGGATAGCAACACTATGGTAAACATTCATTCAGTAAGAAACGAGCTACTGAGTGAAATGAGGTGGACCTAAATGCATGTGGTCATCTGCCTAAGGTGTTCATGATTCCGTATGATAAAACTACGGGAACGCCAGACGAGATCAGCAGTTGAAATTATTTGCAGATCAACGAGCATTAGCAATGAACTCGCTCAAGACACACAATACTGATGAAATGACAAAAAATGAAACACCTTTAAAAACAGGTACTATGACAAATTCCTATCCCATTGAAAGTGAGCCGTTCGGAATCCAGTGGGACATTCATAACTGACTGATCCATGCTATGGATCAGTATGGACCAGTGAGTTGTTCCGGTGAGCGCTAACAAAGCTCACACTCCTATGTGCATGAGTCTCCCACAGAATTCTGAATGAAGCTTACCATAAAACTACTAAATTAAATCACAATGATATTCTTCGAAACTATTCACAATGAGCTCGCGGGCATCATGAAAAAAAATGATGTACATCGTTAATGCAAGAACGCCGTATAAGTAACTAATCACACTCGTTGCTGCGTTGAAAAAAATCCGTACAGATGTAAACAATTAGTAAAACTTGCAAATACTGAAAGATAGGTAACGCAACATGTAGTAGCACAATAGCAGGTAAGTGCAATGGGAGGAGATAAGTCTGCTTTCGTTAATAATAATAATAATAATAATAATCATAATGAAAACGACAGAACGAAAAATGGGCGACCCATGATCAGTAGTAAGGAAGTGCCTTACCAAGCATTGTAGAGGAACCGGTCCGAATGATTATTTGTTCAGTGGTGTGGGAATGATGAAGCTCCACTGAAAACATCAATAATCAAGAGCTTGAACAGTTTTCACATCATGCTTCAAGTATAATGATTTTGTGTAGTGTCTGGAGGTGTATCGCATGCGCCAAATTTTCATCATTTCGTAAAAATGCTTCCACATGATTGGACATAAAAGTGCTGGTAGCATTCAGTTGACTAGAAATTTTAAGGAACATTTTTACGGTAGTCTTCCTGACAAAATTAGATTAAAGTTCGGGAGATGACAAGTTCTAAAAATAAATAAAAAATATTAAGCGTATGGGAACTATATGGCGAGTACTTGATGAGGCAAATACTTAGTCTAGGCGTTCAGCCGAAATATCAGCATCTCTTCCCAACAAAATCGCTACTGGCACGATTTGTGACAAAAGACAAGACGATCTGAGAAATTACTTTTTTTATTTTTTGAAGTATTTTTGGACTATTTTTCTAAGAATGGCTGGGAGAACTTAAGGAACTGTTTTGATCGGAGGTTTCCAACTGAGAAAAGCACTGTATATCAGCCCATTCAGTTTCGATTCTCCAGCACAGCAGGGGAGGAGCGTGTCGCTAAGGTGAGCGGGGCCAAACTGAAAAAGCACTGAATATAGCCCACTTGGTTTCGAATTGTAGACTCCAGCAAAAAAGGTAAGCTAGGAGTATGTGAACAGGATCAACTAAAAAAGAAGAATTTATGACTAGAGTTCATGAGCTCTAGAGGGACCGAAAAACAGTAGTTACGCTACGCCACTGCCCACCGCTTGTATATCCCAGAGACAAACATTCTCAATTTTTTAAAGAATAATCTTAATTATGGGAGTAGGGCAGTCCGTGTTCATTGTTTTGACTTTCAACAAAATGATTGTCGATCCAGCGAAGCCGCGGCAGAGCTTCTTCTGTTCTAGGAAAAAAGATACATTAAGAATCGCTCCATCGGCTATGACATGGACGAAACATGAGCTTGCCGCTTCTCATGCATGCATTCTCATGCAAAGGTCAACTCTGAGCCTGACTTCTTTCAAATGACTAATTACTGAATGTCCATCGAACATAAGATGAGGATGCTTCCGACGGTAGTAGACTTGGAAGGAAAAGCATGCTATAGTTCTTGTATTGGAAAGAAGATCATTACTGGATAACGTTACAAATCCATAAATGTTGCATGATAACTCCCACAAAGCAAAAGCTGTTCGCATGTGACCGACGAATGAATTCGCGAGTGGTACGGTTTATAATTATTTTTGACCTCTTGAGAAGGCATCAGGTGGTACTGCCCACGCTCCAGTGTTTGAGAATGAGAGCGAGCTCAGAAAGAGAATCACCGATGACGATTCTTGACATGTGCAAGAAGAACGGTTAACAGCTCTACAAATGTAACACTTTCGGCACCTGCTAGCGCGCGGAAATGAGGCTGAAGAACAAAGCACATCATATATTGGCAATCCTCAGCGAGAGGGGTCGTATTTGGTCGCTGAAGGGAGGGCGCGTCATAAATAGTTACCTTTGAGAATAGGTTTCTGGTAGCTGACGTTTCTCGGTTTTTCTCGTTTCACGTGCGCTACATGCTATAACCTCTTCCTGCTCGGTCTTTCGGAAAAAAAACCCAGGAAAAGGGACTGCACTTTGGAAGTATCTAGGCAATGGTAGGTCGAATGAGGGATAGGGATGATGGAGAAGGGGGAAGCTTGTATCAAAGGAGGATGTTTTGAAAAATGGGATGAAATTCTGTAAATTTTTCCGAAACGACAAGACGTGCCTTCTACGAGAAAGCCCTATCAATGGCACGAAGTCCAAGGTGCTTCTTAAACCCAGAGAACCCGTTGGATAACTCGATCACGCTGCAAGGACGAATGGAAACACTATTGGCACCCGCTTGAGCAACTCAGTGACCAACGGGAGTCAGGTAAAACAGGTAAAGAGAAAACAGCCTATACAATAACTTGAAAGGCTTGGTTGTGGTCGTGTGGATGTGAAAGTATTAAGACATCAATGGAGTAAAACATAGTTTTGAAATGTGGAACGTGTGACAACGATCGCTTTCCATAACACCATGAACCCCTCACCATAACACATACTTATATAATTTTTTAGAAGTACCAAGAATGTCTCACCGGTTTAGCTCATCGAATCAGTCATCACACCACAACTTGAGAACCGTCTCGCTCCTTCACGATGATACACCATAAGTTGAGAACATTTCGCCGCTTCACAATTGTACTTTTGCCTCGTCAGTTTTCAATTTTTTTGCTTCCACTTGATCATGTGCTGATGCTTCAGCAGCTCTCTTGGCGTTGCACTCATTTCGTCGATCATCACCCTCGTTTTCGCCATCATAGTAATCTCCAGCGTCTTGTACGACCCCATCCATGATCGATCCTGAAATTGGTTACGTTCTTGATTCTAGTGTTCTCCAAAGGTTTTGGACGGCTTATGAAACTCGAGTAGTCAGTAAGCAACTGTTACTCACGGTGTAAACGGACGTCAGGATCTGCCATGTCTTGCCCAAGACTGGAGTCGTTTAGAGCTTTTATAGCATCCTCAGGTACAGCTGAAGCAAAAAATCTTACATTTCAGAGGACATAATAAAACAAAAAAAAACTGAGACACATCAAACAGAAGCAGGATGTCAGAGGAGTATTTCTGGCCCTTCCAAGAACGGTAAAACGAAAATGTATAAGGTATCAGAGCTAACCCTACTTTCTGATACATTAGCCGCATTTACTTGCAAGGTCACAGAGACCCACGAGACAACACGTGGGAAAAATTCAAGTCTCAGCAGCAGCTGTTTAGACGCTTTTGCATGTTTCACCGTCCCCTCTCATTTTGTGGTAATTTTTATCTAACATTAACATCCGATTCTTTTTCATCAAAACCAGTTAAACAGCTATTGGTTAAACTGGTGATAATTCAAGGATATGAAACTTTTCCACAGCGAAACATTCGCCGTGTTCAATGTGAAAGTGCCGCTGTGTTTGACCGTTCGAAAGTGTGGCTATGTTGCGCTCTGTTTGACCGCTCATGCCACATCGCTTGTTACTTGAACCCTCACAATTCTTTGCCATTTTTCACCACTTTTCTGTCGAATTCGATGTTTGATCCTTTGCTTACTGTTGAGCACAGAGAGGACTATGCTTTCGCTTGGCTTCAGCCAAAGAGCACGTGCAAAACTCAAGCTAAGCTACTTCCTTGCCTCTGACTCCCTCTCACAACACTTCTCATTTGTACTCAATTTTTCAACATAGTCGACGATTTTTCATTTTTTGTGTTTTTCCTATGTACAAGGGTGGGGTTACTACCTGAAAAAAACAGGGTTTTTTTCGGCACCTCCATGACTTTGAGGACGTTACACCACTTCCAACATTCAGTGAGCTACCGAAGGTTTTGCTCTCACCGGAAACCAGCCATGTGACAAACATAGTTAAATGCAAAAACTCACGTTGCATCTGGACACTTGGAGCAAACGCCAGTTTTTCAAGATTTTGGATGACAGCCTCTCTGAAATCGTTGTCGTGAAAAAGTAAGCGGAATCCGTCGAAGAAAGCTGTGAATCAGGAGGATAAGGTGCAAAAGTAGACGAAGCGCGCTGTGCGTGACAACTGGAAGCGGCAGGTGTAGGGAACCCATGGGCAGGCAGGCATGTCGCGACTAGTAGCTTTCTGAATTAGTGTGGATAGGACGACACCATGCTCGAAACTAGAAAGGTGTATTTTATCAATTGGCAAACCATCACAGACCTCAATCATACTCAGCAAACTGGAGAAGGAGAAGCGAAGAACCCGCGAAGGAGTTTGGATACGTAACGACCAGAGAAACGGTGAGCTGGAGAACAAAAACTTTGGGTGCAAAAAAACCGCTGCAAGCTTCGACGGTAAGCACTTTTACGCCTTCGGAGCGGGCGTCGGGAGCCTTACTGTCACACGTAATGTTCACGCTTATCAGGGAGCCTGTTCGATTGTGAGTTCTGTGAAAACGGTTAATTGTGTGATGTAGAGGCATATGCATGGGATTTGGAGCGAGGTCATTCGTCTGAAAACGAAAAAGCAGTAGAAAAGAAATATATGGGGACAGCTCCTTTCTGAGCCCTGTATGCGCTATAAATCAGTTGCAACTTTGATCAGTTGCTGGATGGAGGGTGTTCTCAAACGTACGATTGAAGTCAAAGTGGAAAATAGCCGCATGTGGGATATTATTACTTATCTAATTTCTAATAGTGAACGATGGTTTATTCAACAGTCGGAGCTGTCTTGGGTTGCAAGGGTCGACGAGCTAGTGATTAGGTGGTTAGTTGTTGGCACATTCAGGGTAGAATTGGTGGTCCAACAAGTTCCCGTCTCGTGGTGGCAAGTTTTAGTACTTTACACGGCAAGAGGGACAAGGCATTTGAGCAAGGCGTTTGGTGGGTGTGGGCATTTCTCAAGCGTTGAGCCATGTTTAGGCCTCTGAGAAAGAGAAAGGGGCTCGAAATAGTTTTCTAAATAAACACCTCGCTGCGGAAGCCGAACAACAAAACAGTGTTTTACTTCAGAGTTTTGTTGAAGCCCTCCGTCGTTATACGGGAGGCCTGAACACCCACTGGAAGCAAAACGAGACTCCATAAAAATACTGTATGCGACCGCACACTTGGCGGTCGCATACAGTATTTTTATGGAGTCTCGTTCGTTTCGAGTATTCGGTACTACCACAATCTTCACGGTGAACCTAATGCGTACGCACGACACCAGAACTGCACTTCCTGACCCAAACTAATTCAAGATAAACTCACTGGATTCTCCGCAATGACTCTGGTGTGTTCTCGTTGGTAGCACTTGATGGGTCAATATGTAAACGATAGTTTGGACCGAAGTACTCAAAGTAGTCATTATAAGGCAGTTCTAAAAAAACAAACTCGTTTATGAGACCAGCTGAGACGCTTCTAGGACTCACCATCAGGAACTTCGCGATCCACAGCTAACGTCGTTTCGTAAGTCCAACAACGGGCAACGTTACGTGGAGTATATCCGCCGCCTCCCACCATCATAAGAGGTATGTTTTGTGCTCGGAAAAACTTCACACATTCTCCGTGACCTGAGATTGCAAATTTACGCTCCGCAAATCAAGAAAATCTGATTCGATGCTTCGCGAAATGTCGTCATAGAGACCGATCGGAAACATGAAGCAGAGAGTGGCCGTAGAGGGAAGACGGTGTGTATGTTGTCTCGGAGGGGAGACGGACAAGACAATTGTAATCTGTCACCCTCGTCGCGCGCGGCATATCCTACGGCGATGCACATTAAATCCTGAGGTGCATCAGTTTGCCCATAGGAGCAGCTAAACCCATATAAATTCGAGTTGAAACGAGATCTCATGATGGGCGATATCGAATTTTCCCGATCCCTCAACACTCACCTTAAACGGCCAGGCGAGGAAACTCGTCCGTCAGACGCGGCGTCGCTCGCCACGCCCATCAGCACGGACGGCATATTACAATTGTCTTGTCACATACCCGTCGTAGAAGGGTTAGTTTGAGCATGTGCATCGGTATCTTACGCTGAAGAAATTGTAATGATGTACTTGAGGCGCACCTCGCAGCGTCAGGTTGAACGGACCAAGGCGATCCCCGTTCAAAGAGTCAGCACCACACTGCAAGACAACAGCACAGGGCTGGAACCGTTCCATCACTTTTGTCATCACCTCGAAAAAATCAATGTTACAGAACTATTATCTTAGTGATCACAAGACGGAGATAGCGGTTTTCGCATGGAAACTACCCGCAACTTCACTAAATAGTACATATGAGAATTAAAGATCCTCCATTAATTATACAGAACAGCCTCACTACATTGTGCACATGAAGACAAAATCTCTCGCTCATGTTGGATTCATTTTTTTCCACATCAAGTCTTAACACCGTATGACCTACAGTTGAAAATGATCAGAAAACGAGTTCTGCGGTCATGCTTAAACTGACAGGAGTCAGGATATGCCAGAAAGAGGATATAGCAAGCTGCTTAGTTTCCGTCTGAGCCCCACTGAATACGTTTTTTTTTACTTTACTAACTGTTCAATGTTCACGGAGAACTCCATATCACAATAACTAACATCAGTCATAATGGCAGCTATAGTGAATAGTCGCTAAATCACTCTCAAGGAAAGAAAAAAACTAAGAAGAACCATGGAGAACACCCTGAGTAAAGACCTGAACTTAGACAAGTTCTCCGGACCTGTCCGTTATGCAAGCAAAAGGATATCCCGCCGCTTCCGACTCACTAGTCGTTTCTTCACGTCCACCTAGCGCATAATATCATCTAACAGAGAAAAAAATAACGAAAAACGCGGGGTAAAGACTGAACTCGTCACAGAAAATTGGCCTTGAGCTTCAGGGCGAGGGAAAACTAGGGAGGCGTCAGATCTGCCACTTATGGAAGACGTAGCGCCTTGCTTACTCATTGTGCGCTGAAGTGAGGCAGTCTCTTAGCTTGAGGGCTGGAGTACCTGCACAAGGAAGGACGCCTACAATTTGCTCGAGCGCGAGAACTTTTTTTGAATCACGCGTGAGGATTTCTGCGACATTACCTATCCCAACATTTTCAAGGCTTTCGATGGAATTGACCAACCTGAGCTCTTGGGCAAACAAAACCTTCTAGAACTTCGTCCATTAATTTGTTAATGGATGGACGAACACTTTTCTGGAGGTCCGAATCAGATTGGTTCATTTTGGATCTTAGAACTGTCAATAATTAACTTTTACAAGGCAATGTTTAGTTAGGTATTCCTTTTGCTTTATACACTAACCAAACTCTCTCGACCTCTGAAAGTTTTCGAGTCGCCTGTGAAGAATTTGCAGATAAAACATATAATGATAGAAAGAGATAATGATGAGAAAATTATTCTAAATTTTTTGAAATTATTTTGAATGGTTTATTTAATGAAACTTATCGTTGGCTCCTGAAAAAATTGTTGCACATGACAACTGGCTCTCCTAAAATGACTAGTACTTATCTGAGTGACCACATCTTCATTGATGTTTCCTGTGTCAAAAATCTCGGATTTTACTATGATTTCAAAGCTTTGTTTCTTTCAACATTACGTAATACTCTATAAGGAGGCTACATTGACAACATATCAAGTTTTCAAAGGTCTAGCAATCAGAAATAAAGTTATTCTATATATCAAGTAAGTAGCAAAAAAACCAGTTTTCATACTGAATTTGTTTTCACTCGGGAAATGATTATAAGGTCTCCAATATTCACACACGTTATAATCTCTGAGCGAATCTTTTACGTTCACATGCTATTTTAGTTGTGAACGGACTCAGTTGGGCACGAGGTAATAAAATGTTCTTATAAAGTTGTACTTCTGAAACCAAGGGCGGACTTTAGAAGATTTCTGATGGGAATCTCGAAAAGAGTACCGTAAGTTACCGGGAGATAACTAAAATAACCTAGAAAGCTTGTTTTATCAAAGTTTTTGAGTAGGAAGACAGGGATACAGTACGATGGTATTACACGACTCTTGCCAACCAAACCTTCCAACCAGCCTCAAAAATGGAACCAAAGATGTTACGCAACATGGCAATTCTAGTGGTATCCACTAAGATTTGGACCGAGAATAAATGTACAATGACATGCATACAAATACTTTCCATCTATTTTCAATCTTTCATATCACATTACAAATTAACGCAAAAAACTATGAGATCATCGTTAAATTAATGGAAGAAGAACAGTCCACGTTGTAATAACTGCACAAAGTACAAAAAAAAACAAAATGTAAGTTAAAATACTCACAGGTTTGAATATGCTTTGATAAGCGTCATCAGTAATGCCATCCTTCAATGGAACATTGAGTGAATAAAGACGACCCTTGCCTGCACCAATATCCTGAAAAATTGGCTCTGATCAATTACACATATTACGATGTCAAACGTGAACATGAAGTATGTCTGGCCAAGTAAGAGAGCCACGCGTGTTCCGCGGAAAAACTCACTAGCGAGCGCGTCGCGTGCCTACTGTCGCCGCAGCGATAACGCGGCGAAGAGGAAATAGGGCCAGCGTTGTATCAAGGCAGCTTTAGGGCAATGAACTTCCTGCCACTTTGCAGGTGAATGGTAACAACAGCTGGGCAAGCGGAAAGGCAGTAAGTAACGAATAATGGCTGTTTAATAGCACTAGGACATGGAAGGCAGCTGAAAAGTAAATAGATTTGGATAGAATGGGCACATTTTCTAGACATCTGCTTATTGCACTAAGATTTGATTTACCTCTGTGCACTTCGGCGCTACCGACTGAAGTTGCACGTAAACTGATTCAGAGGGAGTCCAGTGTTCAGCAGTTCGCCGCTTCATCGCGGCAAATTCGCTCCGCCCGCGCCGCATGCGCGCCACCGGTGAGTTTTTCTCTTCCCTGACCTGATCGCGGCTGCATTTCTATGGGGATTCTCTAATGGAATTAATGGATTAACGAGAGCGCATTCAAGCTTCGCGATCCAATCTTTTGGATCGCCCGATCTACACGATGGAATCGCATAGTCGGAATGCGCTCTTACGTAATCCAAATTTGCCATACCTGAAATTTCTGCAGAGCCCATATAATATTTTTCGGGAACATTCTGCTATCTTATTGCAATATCTTGCCATACAATAGAATAAAAAAAGTTCATCCCCGTTTACCTTCAGATCGCCGGTTCCTGGAAAGAAATCACCATACTTATGGAATGAGACGGTCATGACACGGTCAGTAGTATAGAATGCTTCCTCAACACCATCTCCGTGATGAACATCGATGTCAACGTAGAGGACTCTGTTAGTGGTGAAGCTATGCAGTTAACAATCAGAACAAAATCCACATAGAATTTCTAACCTCTTGTGATATTTTAGCAACTCGAGAATACCAAGTACAATATCATTTGTGTAGCAGAATCCACTGGCTTCACTCTTTTTTGCATGATGAAGACCACCCATCCAATTAATAGCGATGTCTGCTTTCCTCTTGTTCAACTTGACGGCGGCAGCTAAAATCACGATATTTAAACAAAAACACTGCTGGCTTCATAAGTAACGCCTCTAGCGAAAGTTAACAAGATATTCTGAGCACTTGTGTAGTTGGGGATTGAGGTCAGACATTGGTGGAGGGGTACAGGAGCACTCACGAGCGTACGGATCAAAATATTCGATACGTTACCAATCCTGCCCAACACAGACCCGCTCTCACCTATTTGTTACCCAGACCAAGAACTACAGAGGGGAAAGAAAGTTTGAAGACATTTACGCACCTAAATCACACACCAGTATCGGAAGTTTGCTCAACTTCCATATCACCATGGAGCAAGTAAGTTATTCCGCAGTGACCAAGCGAGTCTTCAAGGATAACGTGCATACTGAAGTGCGTCACTTTTCCCGCTGTAAGAGCTCGCATGATGGAATGTACCGCAAGAAATCAGCAGTCATTGAAAAGCGTACATTCCTGTTCTTTTAAATTGGTAGCTCGTTGGGTAGCAACTGGTTGAGACTGGGTATGGGTTGAGTAGAATAGGTGACAAATCAGATGTTTATCAAGATATGCTTTCAGGACTTTGATTACGACAAACACTCTGAAAAGGCAGGCGCACTGAAGTTTAAACACATAAAACCTTTCCGGGCAACCAAAAAATATTACTACTTGACTAAGGACAAACTGTATACTCACTTCAACACGCACAACTTTTCACGCATGGTAATTTGCCGTAAACATTAAGACACTACATACGAAAAAGACTGGAAAACTGGCGGTTAAAATGCACATGTATTGATGCAGCAACGTAAATTATAGATACACGCTCCCTGTAAAGAGTGGCTGCTTTCCATTCTATATTTAAAAAATTAACAAAACGTCCAGAAAATGCTTGACTAACAAATTATTTCATTAAACTATTATCTCAGCGGGAGGCGCAAGCAGTGCTCCATCACCTCCTCCTAATGTTAGCGCTGAATTGAGCGCCTTCTGCGACTATAACACTGAATTAAATCATACGCACTAGAGATCATCTTTACTGTGCTAGAAGTACGTTCAGCTGCTGAATTACGGTAAACGGTAAAAAATACGAGTTTTAAACTGTAAGTGGAAAAACATAACTAAAGACCCGCCGCTGCTCAGCTGACAGAACTCATATAGGCCATCGAACAACGGACAATCCTCTCCAACGTTAACTAGAAATAGAGCGAAATTTAGCAATAATTGGATTACTTGAAGAAACCACGTAACTCCAAACACTTACATTTGAGCATCTGTTTATTGTAAAGC